CTCCCTTCTATATGCTCAGCCTGTGGGAGTTTGCAATCTTGGCCTGCTTCACAAAGTGCACCCTAGAAGCATCACTATACCCAACTCTCTCAGCTGGGACGTATGTGAAACGGGCACATTGGAAGGAAAGATGCTTCCTGCGCTTTGCGCAAAGTTTTCGGCCAAGCCACGTACCCCCGAAAGGACATCCAGCAAGATACCAATGGCTTCACATGGACAGCACATCTCTCCAACGCTAAACCCTAAACCCTAAGCCCTAAACCCTAAACCCTACATCTTTCGGACCAGCTTGGCCATGTGCGTGAGGGAAACTTCCTGTGGCGTACAACCTTTCACCCAGTCTCGCGCGAAGAACATGATTGAACGTGTGAGCTGACCCTGATATTTCGCGAAGGCTGAAGACAGCGCAGGAAATTAGATATGCATGTCGTGAAAGTGGCCACGATGAAAACACAGGAAATTCGAAATGTTGCAGCAACTCAATTCTGTTGACTGCAACAGCTGCTCAGGCAGCGGTCTTTCAGACATATCGCAATCATACACAACGAACATCAACGAACGCAACCAGTGGGAGCTTGCAAGACCCAAGGCGTGCAAGCTTAAAGCCCACCTTTTGAAATGTGTAACTGGCGAGTCAAAGTGCCCAGAGGTAGATTGCTGGGAAAGGGAGAGGAATTGATCAGCAGCATTCTAGCTGCCAAGTCGTGCAGCTTCGAGCAGCGCTAGGGCTTAGGGCTTAGGGCTTAGGGCTTAGGGCTTAGGGCTTAGGGCTTAGGGCTTAGGGCTTAGGGCTTAGGGCTTCGGGCTTCGGGCTTAGGTTCTAGGGTTTTAGGGTTTTAGGGTTTAGGGTGTAGGGTTTAGGGTTTAGGGTGCTAAGTCCTGAATACGTGGCCGTCAAAGAGATTGCTGCAGGGCATTGGGTGCCCAGCGAAGCCTCCAGAGTCGTTCTCCCTCCTGGCTCTGTAGGGTCCAGGAACCTCCGCACGCCTGAGGTGGACTCCCTTTTCAAAAATTCAATCAAAGAAAGTCCTGTGAAATCAAATTAACACGGGATCTGTGGTGACCCCTACAATCATGTCCCAGTCCTGCACATCCCATCAAATAGCAGTTGGGGGCAGAGACGGGATACGAATCAAGATATTGCACCCTTCTGGGGCAGCAGAATGTTCACCATGATACCAGAGAATACGCTCATTTAGGAGGGTTCGTCCTTCGCCCCAGCAGAGGCATCAGACTGGAAGGGCTTCAGAAATCTGCAGGCTTTGCCGGCTTCATCACAAGGCTGGCATAGTCTCATACCATCCTTTCTCGCCGCGAACTGCGTCAGCCATTCTTGCAACGACAGCCAAAGCTGAGTCTGCACGAGCGCTTTGAAAAATGGGAGCGATCAAAAAATCGTCTGAACTGAAAATTAAAAGCCTTGGAGTGTTGGCCGAATGCGGAACCCATACAGGGATTGCCGAACCACAAAAGAGCGCACAACGAACCTTCCGCCGAGTACAAGATGTTCAATGTCAAGGACTCCCTTTAAACACACACGCACACACACACACATTCTGTATAGGGGGAGATGAACTTCAGGTCACCCTATGGACTTCAGAGGTCATCATTTAGCCAACGGAACTATGAAAAAGAATGGAGTCGCTCGGACCGATCTCATTGTGCATAAAGCAGACCGGAGCCGAGTTAGCGAGTCTTGGCGAGTCAGAACACCTCCGCTATAGTGGGCCCTTAATCTAAGTCCCTTGTTGCATCCCTAAACCCTAAACCCTAAACCCTAAAAACTCGTAAACACTATGCATTCTATGGCCCCCGACTCCGGATCCCTCTAAACAAGGGTAAGAGACCAATGCGAAAGGGCCCATGGTTCCGACCTTAGATCCTCCAGTTTAGGGTTTAGGGTCTAGGGTTTAGGGTTCAGGGTTCAGGGTTCAGGGTTCAGGGTTCAGGGTTCAGGGTTCAGGGTTTAGGGTTTAGGGTCTAGGGTCTAGGGTTTAGGGTTTAGGGTTTAGGGTTTAGGGTTTAGGGTTTAGGGTTTAGGGTTTAGGGTTTAGGGTTTAGGGTTTAGATCCTCCGAAGCGCAAGCAACCAAGCGTCCCAGAAATATGTTGCCACTTTGCTATTCTAAGAATAATTCAAACAGCCAGATCTTTAAACTTTAAGCCCTGGTGCGTGTCAACGGCTTACTTAACCTCTCGTCGGTTGGATCTGGTCGGTTGGATCTGTGGGCACCTCCTGACCAAAGCCGCTAGAGCTGGGCTCGGCACTTGTGCAAAGCTACACTTTCAAGACAAACTCGGAGAGGTCAACACGCTTCGCCTCGGCACAGGTGCAGCTCGCCCTCGCCTGCCCTTGTCACACTACCAAAGGCTGGACCTTTAGACACACAGACCTTTTGACACGCACACATGCACACACGCACACACGCACACGCACACCATCCGAGCTGCGCCGGCGCAGTAAGGCAGTAGGCAGCTTGTGTCAATGTTGAGTTTTGTGGGGTCGTGGGGACCCGCATGCACAAGTTGGCCCAGATCTGTGTCAAGCTTTCGCAAAGGGTAAGACCGCAAGAGCGACCAGCGCACGCAAAACCTCCATCTAAACATGCCAGCCCAATGTCTGGCAAAATGAGATCAAGAGCTGAGGTTCTGGCTGGGTCTAGGTCCAAAAGAGCCTCAACGCATTCGCCCGGAAGGCTTTTGCAGAACTCTCAGATGCATTGCAGGTGCAGCCATGTCATGTCGGCTGCACAGGGCCAACTCAGGCTCACACTGCTAGAACTGCCTGGAACCCCGGTGAGAGGATCTGCGAGACAGGCACCTGTCCGGAACCGCGGGAGTGGAAACGTGCCAATCTGTGCCAATAACACCACCAAAGCCAATCACAAAGACAATGGAATCTGAGAGGGTGCGGATACCCTATATATGCATATACATATCTAATATACTAGATTATGTACATATACTATATATGTATATGTATATGTATATGTATATGTATATGTAGATGTAGATGTAGATGTATATGTATATGGATATGTATATGTATATGTATATATCATTCTATACTATGTGTATCTTTATATACATATATATATATATGTATATGTATATCTGTATATAATAACAATAATAACAACAATAGTAACAACAATAGTAACAACAATAGTAACAACAACAGTAACAACAACAACAACAACAACAACAACAACAACAACAACAACAACAACAACAACAACAACAACAACAACAACAACAACAACAACAACAACAACAACAACAACAACAACAACAACAACAACAACAACAACAACAACAACAACAACAACAACAACAACAACAACAACAACAACAACAACAACAACAACAACAACAACAACAACAACAACAACAACAACAACAACAACAACAACCAACAACAACAACAACAACAACAACAACAACAACAACAACAACAACAACAACAACAACAACAACAACAACAACAACAACAACAACAACAACAACAACAACAACAACAACAACAACAACAACAACAACAACAACAACAACAACAACAACAACAACAACAACAACAACAACAACAACAACAACAACAACAACAACAACAACAACAACAACAACAACAACAACAACAACAACAACAACAACAACAACAACAACAACAACAACAACAACAACAACAACAACAACAACAACAACAACAACAACAACAACAACAACAACAACAACAACAACAACAACAACAACAACAACAACAACAACAACAACAACAACAACAACAACAACAACAACAACAACAACAACAACAACAACAACAACAACAACAACAACAACAACAACAACAACAACAGCAGCAGCAGCAGCAGCAACAGCAGCAGCAACAAGAACCATAACAATAACAATGACAAGAACAATACCAATAACAATAACAATAACAATAACAATAACAATAACAATAACAATAACAATAACAATAACAGTAACAATAAATACATAACGAAGAAAAAAAAGAATATATGTATTTATAGTTTTTCATAACTTCTTCAGGCCAGGCCTTTGAGGAGCCCACAGCGACGGTGCGCCTTACGTTTTCAGGCTGCACCCACTCAGGGGGTTTAGGGTTTAGGGTTTAGGGTTTAGGGTTTAGGGTTTAGGGTTTAGGGTGTAGGGTTTAGGGTTTAGGGTTTAGGGCTTAGGGCTTAGGGCTTAGGGCTTAGGGTTTAGGGTTTAGGGTTTAGGGTTTAGGGTGTTTACGAAGCATTCGCAGTTCTTGTTCGGATGTCTAATCTCCAAATCTCAAAGCCCAGTCTACATCTGACGAGTTGGTCGAAATTATTGGAATCCAGATATCGATTCAAGCCAAGAATCAAACCCTAAACCCTGAACCCTAAACTAGAAGGACTTCCCAGATGTTGGAACTTTCTGCACTTTACGACCTTCTCACAGTCTCAGAGCTCGAGCCTGAGCCGAACTGGTTGGCGCGTTCTCCCCCAGCTGCCCACCCTAGCATGACGACTGCCCGCATGCTGGGAGGGCACTTTTCCTTGCAAGAGTGTGTCGCACCAGGACCTGCAGTGCCGAAGGTCGCGGCTAGAAGCTGTTAGCTTCAAGGATCCGGCTGCGGTCTGGATTCCAATGCTTTTACCCCGTGTCAGGAACACGAGCTCCATCTCAGCTCTGTAAGGTAGTCATGGGATCGGTGCCGGTACGACCACTGAGGGACGTGTTCCGGAGGCCCCTCCCGCTGCATGCCCTCGCGTACACGCACATCTTATGTACGACCTTACGCACATGCTGAGGAGGCCGTGCCGTTTACTTCGGCTGGCTCCGGCGCTGCTCAGGCACTACCCACGCCAAAAGTGCGGGCGTACCCTTCATCGGCCGAAGCGAGTGGTTGGTGGGAACACTGCATCTCTGAGGCGGCAAGGTTGCCGGATTAGCTCTTTCGTGCTCGCAAAGCGTCGTCGCAGTGTCGTAGCTTCATTCGTGCTCTATGTCCTACGTGGACACTTTGCCAGCTTTACCAGCTTCGCTTGGTCTTTGTGGTTCGCCCTCCAGGGCTGCTTCTACCATGTCATTTGGCGTCTCTTCACACAGGTCGCTTCGCTCCGACACAATGAAGACAAGAGCACCCCTGACCCAGTTGCTGACAAGCTGCTTCTCAAAAAACCGAGCAAGCCCGTTCTTCTGGACGTACGAGAAGGCCTTGCAACCTTCCCGGTTCTAGACATGGTGTCTAAAGCTCTTCGAAACCACTCAAGAACTGAAGCAGGTCGGTGAAAGAAGCTGCTCCCAAAAAAAGTATGCTCTGAACGAAGAGTGTTAAGATCCATCGCGAACCCTCTGATGTCAGCCATTCTGGTGTCGGCTGAATGCTAGCGTCGGCTGGCGCAAGAACAGACACAATGCCCCGAAAAAGCATGACCATCATGTCCCGGAAGCACTGGGGCAACAGTGGCAAGAGCCCTCGTGAGAGCAATCCTTCACATGCCCTCAAACATCGCGGCCAGCGCCTCCGGCAGTGCTCTGCCAAGGGTAGTTCCCGATGGCCAAAGCATAGCCGACCACCTCAGCCACAACACCGCAAAGTTTGCAGGCGCTGCTGCACGGCTCGCTTTAGTCACGCGGGTTTGTCTGCTCACTCGGACCACTGCCACGCACGCGATGCTGGGAAGTGCACCCCGCAGGCAAAGAGGTCTGCTGCACGTGCATCGTAGGCAACGTTTTCTGGGAGCGTTTCCTGCGACATCTGCCAAGGGTGACACTTGCTACCCAATGCTCGCTGTATGAAGCACCATCTCATTCCCAATGTGTCTCGCCCACCCCTCACTCAGGACCGTCATCATACTGCCTGAAACAACACATTTCAGCCTCTGACATCCACTGACATTACTGCATATACTGATAGAGGAGTGGCGATGCAGGGCCAGGTAACCCAAATAGAAGAAAATCCCCTTACAAGGGACCCCCCCAAAAAAGGGCACCCCCTGTTTTCGGAAACCCCCAAAGTGCTGTAAGGTGGGGCATGGTGCCCGCCAGGGCTTACGAGGATGACAAGGGGTCCGGCGCCCGGTACATCGGCTTTCCTCGTGCTCCCGTCCTTGGGCACACCCCCTTCTGCAAGCATTGCGATTTAGGGTTCAGGGTTTAGGGATGTTGAGGGTTTAGATGGGTTTAGGGCTGAGGGTTCAGGGCTTAGGGTTAGTTTACGTCCAACGCTTCGCATCGCTGCACTCTGCACTGGGCCCAGCACCGGCAAAGGCAAGAAATCTCTGAAATCTCTGCATCTGTTGCATGCCAACTTTGCCAAACCATCTGCAAACATGAGGACACCCTGTGGCCCCGGCACAGCTGACAAATCCGCGCTGTGAATTGCCATAGCGAAGTCAAGAAGAGCAACCTGCGCCAAGTTGCTGCTTACTCGTGGCCCAAAGACAGAGTGAACCTGTCCCGCCTCCACCTCTCCGTCCTCCATTCGAATTATCCTCATATGCACGCCACTGACTCTCACTACAGATCCGTCGTGGCCTCGGCCCCTAATCCGGATGCAGCCCCTCCCCCCCTTGCGCTTGAAATGGCTGGCCGTCCCACCCCCCCCCCCCACCCTTCTCCACAGCCCGTCGTGTCAGGCAGGAGGGGAAGAAGAACGATAGAAACCGTTTATGACCCGGTAACTTGCCTGACATGCTGGATGGGGCAGACGGTGGGCCTTCCTCCTCTCGTTATGGAGCCCATGGATGGCGTATGGACATCGACCCCTCTCATGAACCCACAGGGACCAAATGAACTCTCAAAAAGATCAAAATGGCCGCACAAACATGGCAGCGCCATTGCTTTGATGGCTTCCTGCAGCAATGAAAGCTCAACCCCCCACCCCCTCCTGGTTACAACGTCACAAACGTTCTCTTTGCACGTTGTGTGTATGCGCACCATGGTTTCCCGATCCCTGTAAACCTGGAAAGGGGGGCGTGAAGGCGACCTCTGGCCGAGGCGGGGCGTGTAGCCAAACTTTCGGCTTCCTCTCCCAAGCCACATACAGCAGTCGCTTCCCCCGTCTTGGCTACACGAGCGCAGGTATATAGGGCCGGACGCATTCTCGGCACTGACATCACCGTGCGCTACGCCCAAGCCTGCGCATCAGTCATGGCAGCCCTACACTACAGGCGAGTTTGCGCTGGACTGCAGACAGGAACCAAGGTTCGGACGGTGCAGTCGTGATACTGTCTGCAGGAGTGCGCAAAGGACGTGGGCAGCCTGAAAACAAACTGCACAGAGGCTGCAAGAAACTGCTGGAAACCAGAAGCCGGCAAGCTTGTCCCGTAAGAGCACTTTCAGCCTGATAACTTTGCTTCATAAAAACCGAACCAACGGTTTTGATATCGCTTGTCTGCAATCAGCATGGGTGGGCACTGCTACGAATCGAAGCCGCAGTGCTGAACCCGGAAATCAAGAATGGTTCGTCCGACCTGGGCCTCTCTTTCCGGTCCAGGCTCACCAAGGCCACTGGCCTCATGCTTTCACCCAGGATGTGCTACCCCTCGCAGTGGCAACGGAACAACGTGAGCGAAGAAAAAAAATGAGAGAGCGAGAGCGAGATGAAACAAGCAAAAACATGTTAAACAACAACAAAAGCAAAATATGTCTATGTGCATATATATGTCTATAGGAAAACAAAGTGAACAATGAAACGAAAGCAAAGAAAGCACAACAGAAAGAATGAAGAATAAGTGGAAGAAGGAATAATAAAGTGCATGCGAGCGGGCGGGCGGGCATGCATAGGTGCGAATGTGTAAGTGCACGAGCGTGCGTAAGTGCGCGTAAGTGCGCGTAAGTACGCGTAAGTGCGCGTATGTGCGCGTGCAAGCCTAAGTGCACGCCCTTGCTTAAGTGCGCGTGCGTGCATAAGCGCGTGTGCGTGCATGAGTGCGCGTGCGTGCGACTTGCGTGTGCGTGCGTCAGTGCGCGTGCGTGCGTAAGTGCACATGCGCGCGTAAGTGCCGTGCGTGGTTAAGTGCGCGTGCGTGCGTAAGTACCGTGAGCGTGCGTAAGCACCGTGAGGTGCGTAAGTGCGCATGTGTGCGTGCGTAGATGCGCGTGTGTGTGTGTGTGTGTGTGTGACATGTCAGGATATTTGGCGTGCGTGTGTGTGTGTGTGTGTGTGTGTGCGCGCGCGTGTGTGCGTGTGCGTGAGCGCGTGCGCATGCGTGCGTGCGTGCGTGCCTGCGTGCGCGCATGTGCGTGCGTGCGTGCGCGCGCCGAGTGTGAGTCCATCTTTATGTCTTTGTGTCTTTGTGTGTTTGTGCGCTTGTGCGTTTGTGCGTTTGGTTTGTCTGCGGCTTTCGAATCCCAGCTGATGCTTTTATGGCCGCTTTACGACGGTGCAACGCCCCTCGCTCAAGAACTCACACACAAAGTCCATTTCTCTTGCTCAGCGCCGGACAAATTCAAAGACATCGCCGGCAGAGGCCCACTCCAGCATCAGGATCGCACTGTCACCTGATGGCAAGAGAAGCTAACAACCTTCGCATGCCTCCTTGATTGCTTTTATGCTCCTTCTTGCTCCTATTCGCGCCACACCTTGGCGAGAGCTGGGCCGCACGCGCCGCACGTGCCGCGCGCAACGTAAGAAAGGAACGCTCACAGGAATCAGAGATCCCTCTTATGCATGCATTCTTTGACGTCACAGCTTTGGACTTAACTAGGGTAGCTTTGGGTTCCCTAAAAGAGCTATGACTTTGTAAGGATTACAAAAGGATCAGGGGGTACTAAAGATGAAAAATCGTTTTCAAATCAACCCTTGCTATGCGCGCGATTTGACCGCAACGTAAACAGTACAAACCATGACAGACCGCACGTTGCCAAAGAAAGTGGATGTCTCCAGCTTGCGCGCGATGCTTTCGCAATGCAGAAAGCTCAGGTGAGAAACGCGATAAGTCGGCACCCTTTTTGGGGTCCTTAGCATGAAGGGATCCGACTGCTGTGGGGGGGTCCATTTTCAGGGGGCCCCTATTTTCGTAAAGCCCCCAACCCTAAACCCTAAACCCTAAACCCTAAACCCCCAAAGTGTGGGGCCCACATTTGGCTCCCAGGGCATTCAGAGGCCACGGCTGGCGTCACGGTAGACGCCGTAGCATGGCAAGACCTGGGATCGACTGGCACTTCTCACATGGTGCCCCTCAACTCTGGGTTTAGGGTTTAGGGTTTAGGGTTTAGGGTTTAGGGTTTAGGGTTTAGGGTTTAGGGTTTAGGGTTTAGGGTTTAGGGTTTAGGGTTTAGGGTTTAGGGGTTAGGGTTTAGGGTTTAGGGTTTAGGGTTTAGGGTTTAGGGTTTAGGGTTTAGGGTTTAGGGTTTAGGGTTTAGGGTTTAGGGTTTAGGGTTTAGGGTTTAGGGTTTAGGGTTTAGGGTTTAGGGTTTAGGGTTTAGGGTTTAGGGTTTAACCCTAAACCCTAAGCCCTATGTGCTCAAGGGTTTAGGGTTCAAGGGTTTAGGGTCCAGGGGCTAGGGGCACTAGGGCTTAGGAGTCTCTAGGGTTTGGGGTTTCATAGGGTTCAGGGTATTTAGGGCTTAGGGTGTTCAGGGTTGAGGGTGTGTTTAGGGTTTTTAGGGTTTCGGTTGCCTATGACCCAGAACCGAAACACAACCTGACACGAAGCGTGTTCAGTTAGAGCTATGTGGAAACGATTCCATAGTAGTTCCCAGGGGGGGTTACCCCCTAAAGGATTGGCAGGGGGAGGGGGGTTAAAAAGACACACTGAGCAGCCACCTGCCGAGCCTTGCCATCCCCTGGCATCGCACAACGCTGCACCTTAAACGACCCTAGCCAAGGCCCTCAGCGCTTAACTTTTGGCTCAAGCAAAGGCTGACAGAAACCTGAACCCTCCCATAACCATCAACCTTAAACAACCTTAAACACTAAACCCTAAGCTTTCGCTCAAGCAGTGTGCCATGTGCTGCCATAGCAGCTGCCATGTGCTGCCTGAGACCCTGCTCCTTCACCCCTAGCCCTCGGGACCCGACTCCCTTGATGCGATCTGGACCAGCCTGGCATGGAGCTAGATTGCATGATCCTCGTGTTGGTTTGGCTTTCCTTCAGCACATCATCTTCGCAGCGCATGTTCGGCCAAGGCCAATGTGCAAAACCATGCGTCCGCAATGCTTTGAGGTTCCCAAGCAGAATGCCTGTCCCAGCTTCATCGCCAGAAACATCTCAGTCCAGGGATCCTTGCAGCTCTAAACCCTAAACCCTAAACCCTAAGCCCTAACCCTAAACCCTAAACCCTAAGCCTCTAAGCCCCTAAGCCCCTAAGCCCTAAACCCTAAACCCTAAGCCCCGAAGACTCAGCTGGCTCTGGAGGCGCTGCTGCACAAATGCTGCACGCGAACTGTCTTATACGTCTCTTCGAAGTCTTCGTGGCTCGTAGGGTTTTTGAACGTTAAAAAAACCATTTCGGGTTTTTTTAGGGTTTTCTGAGGTTAAAAAACCCTAAATGCTTGTCGTGTGCTGCTTTGTGCTGCTTTCTGCTAACGTATCTTCAGCGAGGGAGCTTTAGACATTTCCGACATGGTGCTTCGCAGACGAGCTTGGCTTGCTACAGTGCATCACCCCTCCCCCGGTCCTCTCCACAGAATGCATCTGACTCGCGAAAGGCACGCGGTCCATCCAGCAGATAGCTCCTGGTGCTGCACTGCGAAGGCAGCGTGATGGTGATGGTGTCCACAATGCCAACTCTGGAGAGAGTTTCCCGGGCCTCGAAAAGCGCTTTGCGACGACTTTCTTCCCCGATGCATGGTCGACGTGGACCTC